CATTCGTTCGTGTTGCAGTCTCCACAGTGGCATGATCGCTCCAATCTGCGGTACCCCCATGGGACACAACGCAAAAAACCGTGTAAAAAGTAGCGAGCGCCAACCCACTGCTGTACCCCTTTGGGAGATAAGACAACCAACAACCGCTGTAGAAGCGCCAATCTACGGTACCCCCATGGGAGACGACACAAGCAACCACCGCCGCTGCTGCTGCTGTGTTAATCTAACTCGAGCACATCTAAAATCACATCTCCGCTGCCTCAGCCGCCATCGCCGCCGCGATCGCCTCCTCGTCGGGGATCGGGGCCTCTCCCAAGGAAGGGTCCGCGGGGTCGGCCACCAGCTTGTCGAGCTTCTCCTTCAGGAGGGAGGACTTGCTCGGCCCGCACACGAACGACTCCAGCCGGCCTCTCTCGCCGACGTACAGCTCCATGTGAGGCAGCTTCTTGACCTTTTTCTTGCGCGTAAAAAAAAAAATTGCAACACGAGACACATGCGTGACAAAAAAAAAAAAATGAAGGGACGGGGGGAGGGGAGAAAGAGCGAGACATGTTAGAGTGTGTTATTTCTTCTCGTGTATCCGTGAGGCAGCTGGCTTTTTGTAGCGTTTTGAGGTTGTGGGGGCAAAATTATATCACACGCTCTCCGCCGACCCGCAGGCGTCAAGAGTCCGACATTCTACCCGCCAATACCGACGCTGTTTCAACGGGGATCAGCGGTCAAGCGCGGTCGATGCTGCAAAAAAAAGAAGAGATACCATGCAATACTCTCTCTCTCTCTCTCGCTCTCGGAGACGCGGGCATAGCCGGCCGATTCTACCCGCCAATGCCGACCCCTTTGCAACGGATCAGCGGTCAAGTGCGCGGTCGATGCTTGCAAACAAACAAATAGACATGCATGCAACACACACGCACACTCTTCAACCTTACTGAGACTGATGACGTATTTTCATTGGTCAGCCGGTTACCGCGGTCGACGCTAAAAACAATTTCACAAGTCTTTTTTCTCTTGACATAGCCAGCCAGCCCCACACCCCCACACCCCCACCCACCTGCAGCGACTTGCACAGATCTCTCGTCTGCATCCAGTCCATCTCGAAGAACTTCACGTTCGCGCCCTGCTCCTGGAAGTCCAGCGACAGCAGCCGGAACTTTCGGTCGAACGCCTTGCAGGCCCTGCAGAACCCGGCGTATATCTTGATCACCACGATCTGGTCCTTCTGGGCGTTCTCCCGTAGCACCTCGAAGTACCTCTCGGCCGTGCTGATCACCTTGTTTTCGAATGCGATTTTTTTCGATGCCGGTCGGGTCATGGTGAGCTCGGGCAGAGAGTAAGCGAGTAATAGGTTCTTGGCTTCATTTCCGCCCATTTTTTCATTTTTTGTCAAGAAACGAAAAAACGACGGCGTATAGAGGCGTACAATAGAGGCATGAATGTATGGTGCAAGTGTGTTTGGCTTCATCCCGCCCTCTCCCCCACGAGACCCATTTGGGTTTTCGTCGCTTGGCAACCACGTTGTAAGACACGCCGATCGCTTCGTGGGCTCGACATCGACAACCCGGTCGCCACTTTTTTTCTTCCGATCTTTTTTTTTTTTTGCGGTAACCGTGCATGGCGGTCGAGTAGATTATGTTGTGCGGGGTCGAGAACCCTCACTCCGCGCGAAGGGGATGATCGCACCACGTTGTGTCGAAATTGGTCGAGCACCCTCGAGGAAGTTACACACAGCAGTGCTAATGTATTGTTGTTGTTGTTTGTTGTTTTTCTTCACATTAAACTCGTGTCAGTTGTATAACAGTCTCTGGAAGTGAAAACACCATAATATAGATGAAGCCATTCGCCGCTGTCATCCTTACGCAAGGAAGCAAGTTCAAGATGCCGAACACCCGTAGCAGGATGCAGGCGCACCCTCTCCATGCGACTCGCCGAATACCTCACGGCGCTTCGCGGTTGGTGATGTGCCAGCTTGGTCCGATGAAACCCCGCGTGCTACGTCCCGGCTTTGTAGGGATGCGAGGCAAATGGTCTACTGGTAACTCACGTGTGCTTGTTCGGAATTTTGGTCTGTGTTTTTTCTTTATCGGTATTTTGGTTTCGAAGAGGGTAGACCACAGACCCTGTAGACAAACGCGAGAATCTTTACCACATTTGGTCTCGAGTTGAGTGAGTGCACTGAGGTCGTGCCCGATTCAAGCGACCGCTCACGGTTTTGTTCTTCAAGAGGTAAGTGTCCCAAAAGTTGTGCGCTACCCTAATGCTGTACCGCTGTTTTCAACACTGCGGAGCAGCGTATCTCTGAATGAAAATAGGCTACTGCTGTACATTCTTTAATTTCGGTACCCTTCTTAACACCGGAACGACTGCTGTACGCACCATGGAACGCATGGCATCATAGCGTGTAGATATCTGCATGGTTGTGTAAAAAGAAGTCAAGACTCCGTACGGCCGTATACCCTCAAGCAAGCATTGCCTTGCAGGCAACCTTACAAAGCGTTTTTACGAGGCGTTTTCATAATTCACAACCCCATTATTATCGTTACCACGCCAATTATTGTACAACACGCGGAGAGGGTCCGATATGCAACCCAACCACCCCAGGCCAACTATTCTGTATACACGCCACCTAGTCTGCACGCCAATCCAGCGGTATCCGAACCGTAGAACAGCCTATAGTCGCCCCGCCATTCTATACACCCAAAACTCACCTCCACGGGAGCTCCCGACAAATCCTTCGGCCCCGTGCTCCCCACCGTCGCCGCCGCGACCGCCGGCCTCGCCGTGTTCAGCGGCCTCCTCCCGCCACCTGGTGGGTCGTAGGAGAGCCTCCTGTCGCCGCTTAGGGTAGGCGTGCTCACGACTGCTTGCGCTCGCGGCGGCGGAGCCTGCGGCGGCGGCGTCACGGCGAACCGCGCCAGCGTCCCGCCGCCGCCGGCCCCCGCCCCCGCCCCCGCCC